TAATAGGTGGAAACTTGGTAAACTGCTGTAATTTGGTTGCTTTGGAGTTCTGTGATCATACCATGGATTTCTTCACGCTCCCATGTACAACATGGCCTGCTGCAGCACCCCTGTGAAATGGGACAAGTGTGCTAGCTAGGGGTTGGATCCGCTATAATAAGATTATCCCACAGCTATACAGACCACAGCAAGCAGCTGTTTTAAGCAGGGAAGAACAGAGAACAAGAGCAAGTGGCTGCAAAATGTCCAGCTGTCTCCGTTTCTGGAATACCAGGGTGGACAGTGTTGCTGTGGTGTGCTTTCTGACAGCCTCAGGTAGGGCACAACCCTTTCATCTCCCTTCCCTCTCTGCTTTCTCTTCTTAATGACAACTTTAATGGTTTAATGCATACTTTAGGATATAACTATAAGCTTTAATCCTAAATGCGGCTTGGAAAGAATAAACTGTAAGCCTACTGGCAACAGGCAGAGATATTTCCAACATAATTGTTTCCACAGGATACCACCTGGTATATATTTGCTCCAGTGGTTTAATGTGATATATTCAAATGAAACCACTATGCCAAAGTGCAAACAGCATTTAAAAATATATTCAGAATAATGCACATCACTTTTTCTTTCCATAACTATTTGCTTTCTTACTCAAATGCTACCAGCTCACCACTGGCTGTGTGCTGGAGCACTGCTCTTGGGCTAGATTCCCCTGGCACTCTTAAGCGCTTCATCAGCTGCATGTAGAGGAGCTGACTCCTCTACCACTTTCTAGGACTCCTGGGCATGACTTCCTACTTCCACTATAAACATTGTCAAAGATGGGATGAGAGGATTTGAGAACAGAGATCTACCCATGAACTGCTACAATTTTCTATTCTTCATGTTGATTGCAGTGTGTGTTTCTGCTTTGTGAATACATGCCTTACCTATAGCCCCTTTATAGTGGAGTGTCTTCAGCAATAACCCTAAACCCAGGATCAAAAGTAATAAACATATCTGCCTTCAGCTGCACAAAGATCTATTTCAAAAACTGTTGCAAATGGTCCTGCAAGGAAAATTAAATTATTATTGCCTCTTTCTTTATTGAAAAAATGTGCCTAACAACTTAAGAGAGTTTTCCATTAACATGAGGTTTTGGTGCATGCCAAGACCTAAGACATAATTTTTAATTCTGTCTGACTAACACTTTGAAATGGAGTACTTTCCTCTGCTGTACTGATATCCTGTTATTTAACTTTCCGTGATGGGATATTATGATAATGTATGTTATAAATCTTTCCAAAGGGAGATTTCAGTGACTTATAAATGCTTGTCTGGTCAAAGCACTCATCTGCAGCCAACAATGCAAATACAAAGTGATTATTTTGAAAATCAATCAGAAGTTAAGAACTTTTTAGATGTTATTGAGAAAGAAGATAAAAATATCATTAATTAGTTGAAGGATTTTAACCACAACTCGGTGAGGAGGCTTGGAGTTAAACTTCTACTCTCAGCATCTCGATTGCAGACACAATGAAAAGACATAGTATGAAGTCCTAAATTCTCTAGGCTTGGATTTGTTTTATGTACCGTTAATAGAATGTAAGAGTTGGCCACTACTACATATAGTTGCAAAGGATTTAAAAACAAATGAAAACAAATTAAGTAAATTGTCACAAAACCCTAGTGAAGTAACACTGCTGTGTGGCTCTTGCCACTTCTCTTTCTCCCCTTTTCGTCTTCCTTCTGGATCAGAATATGTAAGAAAAAGATTACAGTAAATAAAGATTATTTAGTAAAAATAAAATATATAGACCTTTACATCCTTATTCTCCAGTGACCTTCATACTGACCTGAAAGGGACAGAGCAAACTCCTCACATCTCTAGTCTGCTAGTTTGGGGCTACAGTGGGCATCACAAGAGGTTACTTGTATGAATGGCAATCCATACAGACATCAAAAGCTGCAGCATCTAAAACTGAATTTCTTGAAAAGATTTTAAAATTATTGAGGTTGTTTTGATTTAAGGAAAATTTAACCAGATACGATTCTCAAGGTTGTAGACTTTACCATGGCCACAAGTGATATTTTAATACTTTAATATTTTAATTACTTTAATATTTGATAAAGTGATACTTTATCATGGTCATAAGTGATATTTTATCCCTGATACCAGTAGCACTTACTGTTCCTAGTTTCCCATTAGGCAGCCAAATTGTTTTAAAATGGAGCCTAGCTACACTCATTATTTTTAAAGTATTGGGATAGGCTTGGCTTGTGCAATAAGGAACACGAGAGGATACAGAGGTTTCCCCATGTGTCTGTCTGTCTAGGCCACCAGGGGGGACTCATTCCTCGTCTATATCATTTACTGAATCAAGTATCTGAAAAAAAACACCTATTCTTGGACCAGGTCTAGAAAGTCAGAGAGTTCCGCAGAGAACTTGTCTTCATTCATATTAAAAGAGCTTTTATATAAAATCTTGTAAATCTACAGCGTTCTTTCCAGTCTGCCCACCTACATCAGCCACCCAGTGCACTGTGCAGTGAGGCAGGCGCAAGGCTGGCTGCAGAGGGATGTGCTTTCAGTTGGATAATCATATGTATCAATAGGGTACAGTCAGTGCAATCTCATGCCCATCTCAAACTGACCTGTGACTTTTGCTACACCTATTGGACTGCCAGAAGACTCAGCAGAGAGCTTGGCTTGATTTCTTACTGGTCAGACACCACATCAGTAGCCATGGCTTTGAGGCTGAAAGGAGCCTTTTTTTGATCATATATGCATAAGGTGGCTCTTCCTTAGTGGCTGCTTCATAGCTCCTTAGTGGCTGTTGCATCGCGCCTTTTCTTTTTTCCCACTATTACATCCTTCCCAATTTATTTCAATTTCACTACATATTTTACGATTTTTAAGCAAAATTTGGCCATTTGGAAACAGAACTGTATTATTGCTATGATCACAAAGTGTCTCTATGTTTTATAGCGCCCTATTAAACAACAGCAAATATCTGTGTGTGATGAATGCATTCCGGAGATCTGTCAGGAAAGTTGTGTAATTTTGAATTCCCACTTAAAAGCTAAAGGTTAGAAGTTTCTTTCAGTTTCGAACTCTGTCAGGCCAGTGGGACTCTTCTTGTGGTCTGTAGAAAGATTTGGAAATACTGAAGAGAATTCTCCAGCCATGTTAAATTGCCAGATTTTTAACTTACTTTGTGATTTATTACATGTATTAGCTCATTAAAGCTGGCACTTTTAGGTACTTTTAATTGAATTCTCACCTTCCTTTACTAGTCTTGAACTCCCTCCATCTTCTGGGCACATCAGTCATGTTTTGTGCATGTCACTAGTCCTAAGTTATCTTTTGCATTACATATTCAGGCTTCTGAAAAGAATTTCTTAATCTTTTGCTGCTTTATAATATGTAAATTATTACCATGATGTGCACAGAATCTGTGAGAATAAAAGGTTTTAGCACTGTGATGGGGAGAGTCATAACAGTTGGTTAAGTTATATTTGTTGCAAGTAATTTTTCTTGAGTTTCCTGCTTAGCACAACCCAAATACCAGTATATTGTATATACTGCTTCTTTCTCATAAAAAATGCAATTTCTGATCGAAGAGGAGCCTGCAGACATACAAATCAAATAGGTAATGCATGAAAGAGTAATTACTGTAAGTCATTCTTCTATATATTCAATAAGTTTCTGTATTTTATTATACTAAAAAAATAAAATTGTTTTTCCTGTCAGTTAGGTGGTGGTTGTGCTCTCTTGAATGAGGTGTTAGACTTTTTTTGATCTGCTTCTTTAGTTGGGACTAGCAATATTGCTGGGTTTGCACAGTAAAAGCTGACCCAGGTTTGGGTCACAAAATTGATATAGCAGATACAGACAAAATGTGTTATTCTTTGTGTGTTGCACTACCAGACAGAAATAAGAGTGTGTATCTAATACCAAAAATGCTTTAAGAGTTTGTAGTTTAGTGTTTCAGACTTGAGTACCAAAATGTGCAACCTCGACTTCTTCAGTATCCCAGGGTAAAATTGGGTTCCTAACCTAGCTTCACTGGTGACAGGTAGATTCTGTGTTCTTACAGAAACATCCAAGTCACAGTCTGACAGCTTTTGCTGTTAACTGTCTCATGTTCGGTGTTCACCTGGACCCATCGTCACAGCAGTCAGGGATTGGGCTTTGTGCTCTTCTGCAATTGTTCAGTGCAGCTTATCCAGGAGAGACTGTGGGCAAGAGCATGGGATAAGGTCACAGAGGGAGGCTGGGAGGCAGATGTGGGACTTACCAATTGTAATTTTATGGATTTTTAAGACTGCTTTCACTAAGAAGTATAACTGTGATAGACACAGCTTTGAAGATGACTTTGCAGGACATCAGTGGTTCTACTCAGTAACATGTAAGGCAGTTGCATTCAGCTCCGGTACTTACCTCAATTTGGAAATACATAGTCTAATTACACTTCTCCAGAGTGCCCATGTGTTGTTAAAGCATGGTGATCTTTGTAAGAAATTCATTCTGAAAACTTGTGAGAGTTGTTGAATACCGTATCAATAAAAGAGTGGACTTAGTCGTCATAATGTGTGGATTTTTCTCTGCTTTAGTGTGTACAGGAATTTCTGTGAGTGTTTGAAATTACTCTTTAACAAATGTTACATCTGATGAGTCAACAAAACTTGCCTTTTATGTGCTTCTGGTAACCATAATTTTACTTCTCCTCACTTCCCCTTTTCACACAGTTTTCTCTTTCATTTTTCACTCGTGGCTTGAGCTGTGTTGTCTGGGGAAAATGTAACAACAAAACCAGAAATTCATTCTCTTCACAAAATTTACTGTGATGATAACTGATAGTGCTGCAGTAGGATTAATATTAATTAAGATTGCAGAGCATTTGACAAAATAACCAAAGACAAAATTCCCTGAAGACATGTGACTGAGGATGACTGTGCTGAATTTTTGTTCCTCTTTTCCTCAAACGAAGTTTTATTCCACCGAATAGTGAGCAAAATAAGTAACTATGTTTGGACTATGTTTTTTCATTTTATTCACCCCTGGAGTCAGTGAACTTCTTTGTACGTCGTCAGATCTAGACATATCATATGCTTTTTGTGGTAAGTAAAAACCAGCTTATTCTTTTCTTACTGGCATTTGCACAACAGTTACTGTAGCCTGAGGAAATATGATCTTTCAAATTTGTTTCTTTGATGAACACAGAAAAATAAAAAGAAGTTCAGCTGTTATATTTCTGTTATTAATTACCCTGTTATAAGAATTACACTGCATAGGCGTAAATTTGACCAGAATGCTCGTTGCAGCAACTATGAAAGAAGTTTACTCCCAAGAAAAGCAGGCATGTTTTGATTCAGGAAATACTAGTGGATAAGGGATTTAAACTTGTTTGCAAGGACTCTAATGTATAAGCTATTCACATTGATTTAACCAATATATTGCAATGAAAAGCTTTAAGTATATTGAAAAAAAGAGGGAATGTGATATTCTGCCTGGATGGAGGATCAGTCAGATCTGGGATAACATAACGTGTCCCTTCTTGCCATGTCTGTGTTGCTGGCTGCTGGATCTGTGTAGTTCACTGATTTTTTTTTGTTGATTTTGCAACTTGGCACATCCATAATGTCTGTGTTGAACAGGCCTAGTGTGCCCATGTGGACCCAGTGGCCAGAAGATGGGCTTTTGTGGAGATATTTTGCAAGGAAAGCCCCATGTCTTGTAAATTTTGTGTGCATTACTTGTGTATATCACTGTAAAATAGCTCTATAAGCTGAGGTGCAGGAGGGGATGTTTATTTTGGGTATTTTCCTTTACATTAATACTCATGTTAAAAATTTAGCAAGGGTAAAAGTGGTGGCACGTAAGCTCACAAACGAGACCTTTGAAACCACGGTTTGATCTTCTTCCTGGTGTAATTTCCGGTGGGTAGTTGTACCCGAGATGAGAAGCTGACTGCTGGTTACCGACAGCCAGCCAGTTTCCCTTTGCACACCACTGCTTTAATCCCCAAAACACATGACAAAACCCTTCTCTGTAAATCACCCTGCCATCCCATTTGCTAGCTGGGTTAGGACAGGGAGCACGCTTCCCCATCGGCAGGCCCACAGCAAGCAGGGCACTTCTTCAGCATGAGCACACTAAGGAGGGCAGAAGCAAACCGACTTGAACAGACTTCTTTCCTAAAATGCTGCAAATAAAAATGGTGTCTGGAAATCCCTCCAAAGGCTGTCACTGAATGATCTTAAAAATAATTAAAATACCAGCTAATGGGCTCTAAGTTTGATTAGATTCAGGTTGTATAATGCTTTATCACACTGCATTTGACCCTGTGCATTGTATAATGCTAGGTGGGTCACTCAGAAAGCAAATCTACTCAAAGGCTCATTTACATTATTCTGGAAAACATGCTGGTACATTAAAAACATTCTTAGCTGTTGTCAGCAAATTTATATAGATTCCATGGTTAGCAAAAGTAGGGATATTTTCAGCTGAGGACTGTGCTCGCTTACTGCTAATAAAATGTTCCTTTAACTTCAGAAGAGAAATAAAGGTACTTCTGCCTCTGAGTTTTGCATGCAAAGTATCTACCAAATATCAACCAAAAAATTGACTTCTCTTGCTGCTTAAAGAAATATGCCCTCTAAGCATATAAAAAATAGATTTCAAAGTACATGTCTGATATTCACTATGAATACTCTTATTAGGCAATTTTATAGTATATGCCTTATATTAAATACGTTTTTAAATGTGTATGAGTTTATTCTGAGTGTGTATGTATGTATATTCTTACTGTTTTTCTGAAGAAGCCTATTCACACTACCAATAAGAAATACTTTTTTCTTGTAGATTCTACAGCCCATGCTTTCATGTTTAATTTGACTCCTTGCAGCACCATGAACAAATCCACCTGGAAGGCTGCTCTTACCTGGATTCCAAGTGAGTCCCTCTTGACTAGACATTTGTCTTCTGCAAATGCAGAAAAACAAATACAAGCAAAAAGCTGATGCACCATCCTAAATGCCAAATGATTTGGGACATCAATTTCTGTGATTAAAAATGGAATAGATAAACCACAGTGATGGACAGAAGTGATGATTTGTGGAAATAAATGTGTATGAGTTTTACTTGTTGGATCAGTTACCATAGCTCTGCATGCTAACTGGCAGTGTACGTGCAAACCTGAGATGGTTTAGGTGCATGTGCACTTGTCCAGAAGAAGCAGACAAGATTTGCAGCCCTTAAGCTATTTTGGCCTGAAGAAGATCCATGTCTTTTTAAGGAGAGAGAATATCAATAGGCTAGCCAAGTATGGCAGGACTTCCACTAAAAATATGCCTGTTCCAGAAGCTGGAAATGGTACTGGATTGTGTATGCAAACCCAACTTTAATCTTTAAACCTGGCTTTAGGCTGGCAAGCTGAGTTACATATGAAATGGCTGTATCATAAACTTCACCTTCTGAGTAAAAACTCTGTAGCTGGACTGAGTTTGCTTGCCTAGACAGATATCTTTGTGACAGCTACCGGCACTCGGCACAGCTTGTTTGAAATACCTGCTTAAAACTACAGAGTCCTCATCTGAGTATTTATTTGGGTTAGCTGTGGAGCTGAGTGAACTCTGTTATCTTTGCCAAAGAAAATGAAGCAGGTTTTGAAATTGTTCACTCAAAATTTTTTAGGACTGGTGGGTTTTGCTGAAAACCAGCTTTTTGTTTTTCTGGAAGTAACAGTTTTCAAGATAGATATTTTCGTTAGTTTTGGGGAAGTCTTAAAAAATGTTGTATTTCAGAGAAAACCAGTTTTTATCTCAATAGCCTGTCTGCATATATGTTTTTCCTCTCCACCAGCTACCATTTTCTTACTTGCAATGTCTTAACTAGGATGTGACATCACCTTTTTGAAGATTGTCTTCAATGTCTGGTACGACGGTGCCAAAGCACTACACTGGAAAGAAGTCCTTTGCAGTGGAGCTGATGATGAATACTCAGTGTGTGGAATGCTGAAGGGAGGTCAGTGTGGAAAACAGATGGTGCTTTTCCCTTGCCTGGTGGGTTCTCTCCACAATAGGGCCGTATCTTGCCAGCCCTTTTCACCACTAAGCAGATTTCTTAAAAGACTAATTGATCAACCCATGCAGACACATTTTTCTCTCTGCAATCAAGCCCTTGCTTGGCTGGCAGTGGACTTCAGAGCAGGCACCTCTCCAATGCCAGAATCCCACTCAAGCAAAGAATTTCCAAATTCTGTGCTTTAATATCATCGTACTGCAGTTTCCATCTCTATAAATTAGGCTATTAGTAATAAATAGCCTTCATCTCATTATAACACTTTCATTGTTAACATCTCTAAAATGACTTGGAAAGACTACACTTAACTGGATTGTACAGAAAGCTAGGGGCATTGCTCATACCTAGAAAACAGTTTATTTAGGTAAGTACCCAGATGGGTTTTTAAAGAGATTCTCTGCACCTATGTGTAATGCTTTCTTTTATTAGAGAAGAGTCAATCCTGTTCTAGAGTCTAACCAACATTAACATGACACAGGTTCAGATTCAGAGTACTCAGGCAGGATGCCAAACTAAAGGACAAAAAGGCGTGTAAGGAGGTCAAAATGCACAGCCCATGTTTTCCTTTAAAAATGAACATAATCTCTCTTTGGTTATTACTGAGCTGAACTACTAGTGTAAGTATTGGAGTTACCACAGTAGGATGGGTCTGTAGGAGGTGTTGCAGGAGCATTGTGGTTAATTTTTATTTTCCAATGTGGTTTAGACAAATAGGCAAAGCTCTGGGAGAAGAAACAGGTGAGGGCTTTATCAGTGGAAGAGTAAATGACATTGGCGCTACTGCTGAGAGATATGCCGTATTGCTTTGAAGTTATTTAGGAAGTTTGATTGATGGCTTTATGATTAAGTAACCATTTGTATTATAATTATCTCTGTTTTACAGAAACGCTTGAAACAGCATTTGACATTAAAGGTGCAAGAACAAAGTTTCCAAAGGTACTTTTCAGCATTTTATATCAAGAAATAACAATAGTAAAATCACATACTTACATGCGTGTATTTTCTGAAAAGAGGTGTTCACCCAAACTGTAGAAAACAGCAAAAGGAAATGTCAGAAAACTTTCTCATGCTTGAAGTGATGACTCCAGTGCTCACAGAAATCATCAAAACCATTCCAAGCAGTTATGTAGACAAGAGTGGCCAGCATTATGCACTAATTTTCTTTTTCTTGCTTGTTTTAGGGCAGTTATAACATTATTTTACAAGGATTTTCCGATGATTCTGAGAAAAATATGATCATGTGCTTGAATTTCACCATGATAGTAAAACGAGATGCTTTCTGAACGCAACAAATGTTTCAAATAATTTCAGAACACAGAAGTCACTTCTGCAGGCAACTGGAATCTAAGCTGCAAAATAATAAGCACACTAATTTTCCTGAGGTAGAATACATCAAATAGTGTCTGGAAAGCTACATGATGGATAGTCTTATCCATTTATAGCACTGCTGTAATCAGACAATCAATGTGCACAAAATATCTGGGAATCAGGCATCCTGATTAATCCCCAGAATAACAGTGACTGGATGTCAGGCTGAGTGTTCTGGTGCTGTGCCTTGAGTTATGAGAAGGGCAAGTCCTTCAGACTGTGCTAAGCTAATTCAAGAAGTTTTGAAGTGCAAGAATCAGAAGTTTACTAGTACTCAATTTAGAATGGAACAGCAATTGAATCTGGGAACCATGTTGTGTGTTTGGGGTTTTTTTAATTTAAACAATAAAATTTTTTGTACAATTGATGTGAGAATTTTTTTTTATACTTCTGTTGCTTTCTGATTATCTTTAGGTGTTTCCTAATGTTCTCTGTTTGCACCGAGCTGAACCAGAGGAGTAGTAATTTCTACTAGCTGATGTGCGTAACATGTAAAGTGCAACATGTTTTCAGTTACACTGATATGGTACAGCTGAATTTAGCGATCCAGAGCTGTAACTGCAACCCCATAGTGTGTTTTTAGCTCTTGCTCAAAGACCGAAGGGCAGAGGATATACAAGCTGTCTCCTTCAGAAGCAGGAGGATGCCCAGCAGGTTGGTCTACTCCTCAGTTATCAAAAGCATGTCTAAAGCTTTTGCTGTGACTTACTGTCCCTTGAGCAGCCCAACATTCAGTACCCGCCTTCCCTCTCTGCTTCACCTCCACACCTGAGACCTTTGGTAAGATTCTGATGGAGTGTCAGATTTGGTCCTTAGGAAGAGAGCTGGCATCCTTTCAGGCTTCATGGTGCTTTGATGCCACTGTATGGTGAAAGACAGCTGACCAGAGCAGCGTACACATGCTTCCTGCCTTCAGACAGGTACTCTTTTTACGATGGGCTTAGAAGGATGTTGCAGAGGGACTCTTCCTTAGGGACTGTAGTGGTAGGACAAGGGGTAATGGCTTTAAACTTAAACAGGGGAACTTCAGGTTAGAAATAAGGAAGAAGTTCTTCACAGTGAGGGTGGTGAGGCACTGGCATGGGTTGCCCAAGGAAGCTGTGAATGCTCCAACCCTGGCAGTGTTCAAGGCCAGGTTGGATGGAGTCTTGGGTGACATGGTTTAGTGCAAGGTGTCCCTGCTCATGGCAGGAGGGTTGGAACTAGATGATCTTAAGGTCCTTTCCAACCCTAACTGTTCTATGATTCTATGATTCTATGTTAGGATGCCATGTCCTCTTTCCACCCTCAGTCCTCAGCCAGTGGTTACTTCATGAGTTCAGACACTTCCCACTACTGAAGTTGCACATTGCACTGGCTGCTAGGTTGTGATAGCAGATTGCTTCCAAATGCCTGGAAAAAATGAAGACCCAGAACAAGCCAACACTCCTTCATGCTGCTCAATACCAAGCAGAAAAATTAGCAGAAGTTAAGCTTTTGACCTCATTTTACGTGTAAAAATGTTTTTGAAATTGAGAATCAGAACACTCAACAAAAACCCCACACCCAGGTACGTAGATACTTGATTTGAAACTTGGTTTCAGTATAGCTGGTTTTGCAATCTAAAGCAAAATCAAGAGTTAATAAATATATATGAAGTCAAATGGCATCATGGCCAGAGACAAGAAGCCACAGTTACATCCATGTGGCAACGGCAAAGTCTGTACTTGTGTTCAGTTCACAGACCACTCCAGAAGCAATCCATGATGGAGTGCCACAGGAGCTGCTGCTTAAATTTGAATCAAGTTACTAGAGTTGCAGTTGGTTTCCTCTGAATCTAAAACATCAATCAGAAGCAGACAGAAAGCCTGATAACCAGTACCTACTTTTCTTCTATTTTGCACATTACTGGTCTAGGGAATACTCTTACTGTATGATGTTCCTGTGTACCCATTTCACAGTGTCCAGCAATCAGCAGGTAAAGCCTCAAAACAATTTTTAGTGACAAAGTGTTCAGAGATTTTTGCTGCCCTGAATTATTCAGGGTGTTAGAAGAAATGCTCTGATCATTAAGGAACAAATTCCACAGGTAGGAGAGATTAACAGCTCCTGGAAATCAAGGGCATTCACATACTCTGTTTTTCATAGCCACACGTTTTAATGCCTTGTGGATTTTACAGAAAATTTACAGTATAAAAATAGAATTTGTGTATCTAAATAGGGACATTTACAGATAAACATATGTATTCCGTAGCTTGCATTGCAGACTTTTATAGTATAGGTCTTCAGCTGAAGGGTTATGATTACACATGCCAGCAGATAGGATTGCGAGGCAGAACACAGGAGCCACAACTTTATAAAGCAAAGACCTTTCAAAGGTCTTAGGCTCTCTCCTGCACATGACTGAAGGTTTCCGCTTATTGCAGTGCTGGTGGCTGCTGTGCCATGTTCCCCCATGGACAAGAGGAGACAGGGTTTTGTGGGATGTAAGACCATGCAAATGGCTTACCCTGAAATTGCTCGATACTGTAGGGTGAAGGGCAGAGCTGAGGGCAGAGCTTTGCTCTGTATGTCTTGTTCCTGAGACACAGCTGTTACAAGGCTTCCCTGCCTTCTGCTGTTGTCTGGAGTTGACGGGAGTTATCATTTAACACTTTTCCTTTCCAAACTTTCCCAAGCGCATATTTGGGGCTCTACAGCAAAGAGAAGTCTACTTAGAATAAGGTCAATTACTTTGGACTTGGTAAAGACTGATCTGAATGTTTCCATTTCTTCAATTTATTTGGTCAGTAAACTTGGATTCATTTTTTACTTCTTCATTTCCTGGATCTGTCCAGAGTTGGAATGGTGTGAATGCTGTGAAGTAAACCCTTCACTAAGTATTTCTTCCTCAAAATATTCACTGAGACTTACACATCCTGAGATAACTGCATTTTGCCAGGAGTTCCAGTGAGCTGTGCAAAGCCCCCTCCCTTGCAAACTGCAGTAAATCAAGGAAGGCTTTATGTGTAGCACACTTACCTGGAACTAATATTTAAAGCCTTCACAAATATCTCTTTCTCTCTCCCTCATTACTGTTGTTTTTAAGTGGCTGTCAGGAATTGCTGCAGATGGGAAAATAGCTTTTCTTCACCCCCTCACCCTCTGTCGCCAAATATGCAATTACCAGAAGAAGCAGTTCCTGTAAAATGTGCTTTCCCATAAGAGCACACACTTTTTGAGCTGTGTTATTACAGTTTCGTGTGATAAAAACAGTAAAGCATACATAGATTCAAATGAGAGAAGTCCTGCTAACTGCAATAACATACACATTTGCTGTCTGAAATTGTAACATCATTTGAGATAGACACACAAAGGAAATTCGGTGTAATTCGGGTATTATGAAAGTATATCTTGCTTCCAGGGATGTACTGGAAGGCATAAGCAATCCCTCAGTCACCAGTTAGCTTAGCTAGTAAAAAGTACGTGTACTCATACTGAACAAATAAACTATATGGTGCCTGCAGCAAGAAAGAGCTTGACTTGATGATGGAGAAGATGTGTCTGGATCTGTGTTACAGGCATCAAAAGAGAAACATAGCAGCGTTAATGCCTTTTGCACAGTTTTTTTCCTTGATGGAAAATGCAAGTAATTGCCTTTGAAGTGTCAGTGTAGCACATTGTGCTGAATGACTTCAGCTGCTTTGTTCTGCCTGAGTGTTCCTGCCAGCACAGGGAGTGCAGGGGCAGCAGATGGGGATAGTGACATTTCTAATCAGAAGAGGTGGGGAGGGAGGGAAGGGGGGGCACCTCATGTCTGCAGAGCTCAGGGCAGAGAGAGCAGGACAAAGGAAATTTGGAAACTCTCCTCACTGGTGTTAGAAATGACTGGACTTTGGAAGTCCTGCAAAATAGTTACTGTGCACATGTACTTGTCTTGTAGATGCCAGGCACAGGGGCCTTGCTGCATGGCTGTTATAGACTGGTATGTCCATAACCTCTTTTCTTCAAGATACATTTTACTACTGGCAAAGAGAGACCTTATACATATAAATTATATATATTTAAAGTATATATACACACATATACACATACATGTATTTGGCCAGACAATTTATAACAGCTTTCCAAAGCTTCTGGCTGAAAAAACCCTGAGGTTTTTTGGGGAGGGACTTTACCCTAAATAGCTGCCTTAGCTACAGGTGCTGTGGTTTTAAATTCAAATTTCTTACTAATGTAATTGCTTACTGACATATATTTTAACTTTGTAAATTATAATTTTCTTTTAGTGCTTTCGGTTATATAAAAAGCAAATGGGAGAAAATATGGAATAAAATGATAAATATAATTTCAGATTTGAAAAGATGGAAGAGAATAAGGTAGAAAATATAAGTGAGGTAAACAGTTATGGAAAATATACGATCAAACACAAGATGTTTGAAATATTTATAGACAAAGCATTGCAATATTGGTGAGTCAGGCACTAATATTAGGTTTACTTGAAAGAGGAGATTTTCTCCATTCTGTCAATACAACAAGGATGACTAAGACGCCATAATTCTGTGAGAAGAGCTAAAACTAGCCATAAGCTCAAGGTATTCAGCAATTACAATTATAATGATCTGTTTTTTTAATACTTGGATTGCGATGGTGCCTCTGTAAGCAGCTTTTAATCAGGAGTGTTGCTTCTCTGCTGCATACTGTTTAAATATATACGAAATGAGTAAAATAATATCTTAAGGGTTCTTTGAAATACGAATCATGGCCAGATTCAAAGCACCTACTAAGCATCTAGCCCCAAAAGAGTGACCCAGAATCCCTTAATTCTGCAGTGAGATTGTCTGACACCTCCAAAGAGCAACCCATAGATCCTATGCAATGAGGAGACTGGTTTGGGGCAGTGCAAGATAGCAAGGGATGGCAGACAAACTGAATTAATTCTTATTTTCCAATGCAA